TGGCCCAAATGTGGTGTGTATGCATCTAAAACTTTTTTTTATATTAAGTTAATCACTTTTCTAACTTAAGAAACTTTTGTAGAGCTTGTCAAGGAATTAACTTAGTATAAAAAAAGTTTTAGATGCATGTACACCACATTTGGGCCAATAATAAATTTTACTTATAAAATTTTGCAGATTCTTTTCAGGTGACAAATAGATTATCAATTAAATAAATAGTTGTTAGGCAAATTGTTGTTGGACAAATAACATAAACCCACTTTAGAAAACAACACAATATAGACAGATAAGAATAAGGATACTAATGTTTGTATTGAAGAATTTCAATTTAAGTCTATCTTATGTATCATAATTGTGTGAATTCTAATAAATTGAATGAATTTAAAGAAAATATAATGAATTATTAGTAATCTAGTTAAATAGAATAGTTGTTTTAGAAGACAATACAGATAAACAAGTGGATCAAAACCTAAATATTTAGAACCAGATTGTTGTATTAAATTAGTTGCGAAATGTTTGGATAAAGATTTTGATAAATGATCTACTGCAATGGAAATTAATGAAATTATCACTTATTGGCTAAATGAAATAGATCAGAAAGATGATAATATAAAAATAAAGATGCCAATGATTATAGTAAAGAAATTTAGCTATATTTTGTAAATATATAATCGAGTGGATTTCTTTTAATAGATTAAATAATATTCCAAAGAGTGGTAATAAATTTTTATCAACCTGGTTAAATTGAATACAAATTATTTTAAATGAATATATAGTTGTCTTACAATATGGACAAGTGGAAATAGAGATGTTAATAATCATATTAAAGAATTTCAATTTAAAGCTAAGATATAGTTGTTAGTTTTTTTTAATAAATTATATTATTCAAAGGATAAGAGCTTACTTAATTAATTAAAATTTGATCAAAGAAGCTATGCAAGTATTAATATCTTTAAAAATCTTTAATAGGCTAAAATTGGTCTACAAAACTTTTCATTATATAATGTTGTAATAATAAGGCAAGAGCTATATATGAAAAGCATAAAATTTAGAAAAAAAATTTATTGAACAAGCTAGAGTATAAGTATAAAGTATATTTTTTTCAATTCTTTTATTATTCTTATTAATCTATGCCCCTAATACTAATTACTAATTGTTTTATCACTTTATTAATAATTACCTAACTCGATTACTTGGTCCAAATTTTTTTTCTGAAAAAACTTCCCAACAAAAATAGTAAAAACCGATCTTCCAGCTTATAAGTCAAAGAAAGAAGGAACCATAAAACAGCATCTGTCATTTAAAGATAGTTCTCATATGCTACCTGCTAACAGTTTCAGAGTTTATCACTTACTGCAAGCCTGGCACTTGTTGTTTAGAGGTAGTTCTCATATGCTACCTGCCGACAAGTTCAGATTTTATTACTTACCGACAAAATTCGAGTAGTACACTGCCTGGGTGGAAGGCTGTCTTTGTTGTTTTTAGTAACTTACTCTCTTTTAAGTAGTACTAAGAGGTCTCTCCTTTCTTTTCATTTTTTGCCTTTCTTACTAGAATTTTTGACAAAAAGTGGGCTTTTTGGCTTACCCCTCCAAAAGATCGGCATTGTTTACATCTACCAAATCGAGATGAACTCGGTAGAAGGCAACTACGTGTTTTGTTGTTTTGCAGATATGGTGCTACAGTATGGGAAGAGATCACCATCTCCATTTAGGAGATATCCAAGTCGAGTCAGTGCCCAGAACGAGTCCCAAAAATAAACCGAATGTTTATAATCGAGATATAGTAATTAGTTGCAATTATTATATAATTTTTATCTTTATGCCTAGCATAGGCTATAATAGTGTGTCATGGCTACTTTTCTTTTTTTTCGCTTTTTTTATTTTTGTTTATTTATGTTAGACTATTTTAGAATTTGTTAAAAAGTTTTTTTTTTTCCACTATGAGGTGTTTTTTTTGCTAAAATGTTTATATCTTTTATAAACATAGCTTTATTTTTTTTACTTTTATATATGAGTAAGAGTTTAATTATGTTGTTGGGCTTAGATGGAAGAAGTCTGAAAGAAAGAAGAGATAGTTATGATGGGTGGCAAGGTTCACTGTTAAGAGTCGGGTCATATCCAATTGCAGGAGAGGTCCGGAAGGAGAAAAATCTTGCTATAGTAGGTTGAACATAGGTACTATTTGGTAACCGAGTTAGTTTTAACTTGTAATTTAGATAAACATTAGGATTAATGCTATGGCGCTTGTCATTTAGAGATAGTTCTCATATGCTATCTGTTAACAAGTTAAGAGTTTATTATTTACCTTTCTAAATGCAACTTAGTGTAAAATTTTACAAATCTAGACGAGTCGTACAAAGCCTAATAAAGTTAAAGCATAACTGCCGAAAATAATAATAATAATAATAACCTAACTATGACTATATTATTTCTGCAACGATATTAGTTAACTATTAAATAATGTATATGAAATCAGGCCAGGTTTAAACCAAATCTCTTTCAAGAGCTTAGGTCAGTTATAAGCATGATACTAGATTTGAATCGAACTTTTATTATAAGATTGAGTTACAAAGTATCGATTATGGGCTTGGTCGTGGGCTGTGGCTAGTGTTACAAGCTGGCTGGGTTAGCCACGGCTAAGGTGGCTTAGCCGGCTAAGCCAGCTGATATAAATGTATCGGCTGGCTAATATGGCTTATAGCTAAAGGGTACGTATATCATTCACGTGCTAAAATACGTAATGTAGATTTATATAATTTAACCGTTTGCTAAATACTTGTTAGTGTTAGAGGTATGCGTCAAAGGGTAAAAAGAATTTTATTTCGTACTGCTTTTTTATATATAAAATTCAAATCTTATTGAATATAATTTGAATATTTCTAGATCTTACTTGCTTGAAATATTACGTATAATACAGCATTGTTGGAAAATCATTATTATAAAAACTAAGATTCGATATTTATATAAATAATCAATGTTTTATTCAACAATTTTCTATATAAACTGTTCTATAGTTTTAGTGTAAAAACCAAAATAAGTACTAAGTTCTTTGAATACATTTTGTATTATTAGTTTTTGACTCCAGCCATATTCGATTTTTCTAAAAAATTCAAGTTTTGGGTTGTCTTAAAAAAAAACTATATGATACACCAATATCTATTTAAACTAAAAGTTTTTTTTTTCATTAATAGAAATACTAAAGCAGCCAAGATTTTTATGCCCTAAGTCATTTTTTTTTTGCGAAGTATATATAGATTGTAAATTTAAACCAAACCCGGATATATAGCACAGATTTTGGAATTTTTCTTAAGAAATAATATGTCATGAACAGTGTCAGGATCTAACTGATTCCTTTTATCAGTGATCGTATTGCCTGCACTTAAAAAGATCCTTTCCGAAGGAACTGATGTGGCTGGAAAAGCCAAATATTTTCTTGCTAGGTGAGAAAGTAAAGGAAACATTACTTTATGTTCATTCCACCAGGTTAATAGATTAACCTTATTATATTCTTCATCCATAATATGGTATTTAGAAATTTGAAATAGATTATTATAAAGAGCTACTTCTTCCTCAATTGAGTATAAATTTTCACTTTCGCGTTATTATCATCATAAAACGAGACAAAAAAAGATGAATTAGTGCTTAATGGTTCTGATTCTTGAGTAAAGATTGATTGTTTCTGGTTACTAAATAAAGAACAAAGATAAGTAATAGTTTTACTTTTTTTATTAGGTGTTAAATAATTTATTTTTTTAAATCTTGGATCTAAAAAAGAAGCTAATAGACTATTAGGTGACGGTTCAAACCATCTTGATAGCATTGATTCATTAATTTTTTTGCAATAGCTTTTTACTGTTATTGATCTAATAGTTGGGTAAAAGTTTTGTAAATGGCGTAAAAGCTTAATAAGAGTAGGTATCATCATTCCTAAGGTGGGGTATTGATTTCCTCCAATATATCCAGTTGCCTGTACAAAAGGATGTAAAAGCTTTGCTAATTCATCTAATAAATTCTATTCTTCAGTTGACAAGAGAAGTTCTGAAATTCTTGATCCATCCTGTCTTTCTTGCCAATTAATACTTTGTTTTAAATTATCAGCCAACTGTATAATAGCATTATGGAGAAGAAGAAAATTCTTTAAAAGATTGTACGTAGAACTCCAACGAGTTTTAGAGAGGATTAACAAGATGCTGCGGATCTAATTTAGCTTGTAATTGATGAAGGCTTTCATGGTATTTATCTCGACTAATATGATTATTTAATATTTTTGCTTTTTTAATTAAATCATTAACTTCATCAATATTAAATCTATCCCCTAATGTGAGCTAAATTGAGTGCGCTATGCAGTCTATATGTAAAAATATTATATAAGTTATATAATTTTGTAAGTATAAAATTTTATTAAAGTATCATATATCGAATATATTATATTTTTAATTATAGGGGTATAATAAAAACTTATGAATCTTAAATTTAAGTGTAATTCTTTAAAAAAAACCATACATGAAAAATTTACATTTTATTAACTTTTAATTTTATTTAAAGTATTTTTTTTAATTTATAGATTATAGTCTACTTACCAATATCGAGTTGTTCTATTGCTTTATTCATTGAAGAAGCATTATCCGTTAAAGCTCCAAAAAGTTTATTATGTATACCCCATTGGGCAAAAATTTGTTGACAAAAATCTTCAATTCGATCACCTGTATGAGGGTAATCAAACTTTTGAATTGTAAAAAGAGCTTGGTATAAAATAAATTCAGGACTAATCCAATAGATAGTTATAGCAATATAAGGTTGATGAAATTGAGACCATAGGTCCGTTGTGAAGCAAAAGGAATTCATTGTTATTTGTAATAAATTTTTAAGCTGTTGTTTAGCAAAAAGCACCGATTGCATTAATTTTTCTTTTAAATTATCAATGCATGGAAACTCAAATCTCAGCTCACATTCAAGAATCATATCTCGGAAACAATTATTTGTAGTAGCATAAAATGATTAAAGATCATCTACAACCCAGGCTAAAATGCGATTTATAATTTTTTCTTGTTTAGAAGATGGTAAGGGTGTTTTTTTATTTATAAAGTCATGTAATGATGGTTGATTTGAAACTATATTGGTTAATTGAATATTTTTATTATTTCCTTCAGGTGGTAAAATTCTATGAACTTGGTGTAAATAGGCTTTTAAGTTTCTTGTTCCAGTAGTTAACTCATAATTATGACCACAAACTACTTTTATCTTGCGTAATTTTAACTTTGCAATATGCTTTTTTATCAGGTTTACTTCATCTAAAATAATATCACACCCAACTTTTGTTAGGCCTTGATCTTTTGCTTCGAGTAGAAACTTTTTTTTTTAGGATTCTTTTACCTAAACTGTTGGCAATAACAGTAATGCTATTATTATACGATGTTGATTGTTTAGGTGAGCTTGAGTTTGATTCAATATATTCAATTTTTAGGTCATTAGGGTTTTCTGATAGATCTAATGCATTTGATTCATTTGATTTGTTTGAATCTAATCTATCTTCATTTGAGTAAAAACTAAATTGATATTGATCATACCTTGACATTTTAATACCAAAAAATTTGTTTACAAAACATAAAAAAATTTCTTTTTAACCGTCTTTATTTATTTAAGTTTTTTTTTTTTATATTATATTATATATTAATTTATTTATTTATTTGTAGATACATCTTTAATTAATTAGCAAATGATAAATAAGTAATTAATTAAAAATTTCACAATTAGAATTAGATATACGATTGTTATTTTTCAAATGACTATGCATATAATTGCAAGTTAGTTTATACTGCTTTATTAAAGAAATAGATTTAGCCAGAGCAGTAAATATTTTATT